AAAAAAAAAAAAAAAGCTACTGGGATAAGGAAGTTTCTTCTACATCCAGCAGCGTGCTTATACATGCTTAGAATTTCCCTGGAGGCAAAGACAAGAAGCTGGTAGCAATGTTTGCCTCTGAGGAGAATTGGAATCTGAAGGAAGTTGATTGGAAAGACTTACTTTTCGCTCTGATCCAAATCTTGCTCCAAATGGGTACAACATATTAGTATTACATATTCGAAAGTGAACAAAATAAATATATTCCATATGCCCCCAATTAAATATAAATGCACATACCTTTTGACCTAGCAACTTCGCCTTTAGGGATTTATCTTGCAAACAGATTTAAACACGTGCAAATGACAATGTTATTCTTTGCAACTTTTTTTTTTTTTTTTCATAACAAGAGGTTATAAAAAGTCGAGAGTTCATTTGTACTGAACTGGTAAAGAAAACTATATACATTTCTCAATAGAATAATAGGCAATCGTAAAAAATAATAGAAGGTAATAATGTACTGATACAGAACCACCTCTATGGCGTAGTTAAGAGGAAAGGTCCAAAAAGGAGTATATATCTGTTAATATTGTATAAATAGTAGGGAAGAAATATATTTACTTACTAGCTTACATATACAATAAAACATCCTGGAAGAATACAAAAAGCTTGGTATCACTGATTGCCTCTGAGACGGCAGGGCATTGGTGTTCAAGAATTTTTAAGATCTACTCTTTGGTATCTTTTGAATTTTAAATTATGTGATTATATTACCTAATAAATATCTTGTCAAGAATACTTGATAATTATCTTTCCATGTCAGGAAAAACAGAGCTATCTAATTTTTTAAGTGGCTGAATGATATTACCTTGTTGGATTTACCATATTTAACCAACTCTCTGCTGATAAAAACTTAAAATGTTTCCAAGTGATCACTATTATATGTATTTGCACCCAAATGCGAGTATTCTTGAGCAATAACTTCTTATAACTATGATGAAAATATATGTGTATTTAATTTTGTGACAGCTATTTAAATATTTAGCTCACATTTTTGTTATTGTTATTTGTTGTTGTCATTTATGCATTTTTGAGAGAGAGAGAGAGAGCACACATGAGAGAGAGCGGGGGAGGGGGAGAGGGAGACAGAGGATCTGAAGTGGTCTGTGTGCTGACAGCAGAGAGCCCAATGGGGGGCTTGAACTCACAAACTGGGAGATGGTGACCTCAGGAGGTTGGTCACTCAGCTGACTGAATCACTCCTGTACCCCCTTGTTGTTACTAAATGAAACACACACACCTGACATAATGTGAGTTTTCTGACATTCTCTAGAGATAAGATCCCTGTATAAATTTCAATCACGTGATTTCAAGTTTCATCATTAGCAATGACATTTCGGACTTCAATACACATAAAAATATGACGCATATGAAACAATTTTGTGCCATTCTGAAATTCAATTGTTTGTTATATCAAAATGCTCTTACCTTCCTGTTACCAAACACTAATTCTTTTTTTTTTTTTTTTTAATTTTTTTTTTTCAACGTTTATTTATTTTTGGGACAGAGAGAGACAGAGCATGAACGGGGGAGGTGCAGAGAGAGAGGGAGACACAGAATCGGAAACAGGCTCCAGGCTCTGAGCCATCAGCCCAGAGCCCGACGCGGGGCTCGAACTCACAGACCGCGAGATCGTGACCTGGCTGAAGTTGGACGCTTAACCGACTGCGCCACCCAGGCGCCCCCAAACACTAATTCTTAAAGAAGCAAGTTCTACTGTATGCATATGTTGCTTTGCAATGTAATTTGGTAAGTTTTACCTTATTTTCTTGCCAGGCTATCTTTGGGTTTTTCTTTTAATTTTTTTTTTAATGTTTATTCATTTTTGAGAGAGAGAGAGCACGAGAGCAGGGAAGGGGCAGAGAGAGAGAGGGAGACACAGAATCCGAAGCAGTCTCCAGGCTCCAAGCTGTCAGCCCAGAGCACGACGTGGGGCTCGAACCCACGAACCATGAGATCATGACCTGAGCTGAAGTCAGATGCTTAACAAACTGAGCCACCCAGGCACCCCAATTGCCAGGCTATCTTTGAAGGCCTGGTGAGTGCTAGCACTGGCCTATGGAATCCAGCTTTATGAGATGAAGGTCAGGTTGTACCAGTGTTCTAAAAGCCTGGGTAATGAATTCAGACAACTAAGTATAGGACTGGAATAAATCTTTTATTACCGAAAACAATCCACAATGGAGATGGTTGGCACTGGGCAGATTTCCACAAAAATTCATGAACAGCATTCACAAAGAGAACTTGGGTACGTGGCTTTGAACCCAGAGGAGGCACAAATGCCACTGGTTGACCTTGAAATGTTATCTTATCACTTGGAATGGATGCCCAAAAAAGCCAGTTGTAAGATAAATTGTTTTTTTTTGCGAAGGATTCTGTCAGTTCTCATTTTATGCCCAACATGCAATAATTTTCTAGATCTTCACTGAAATCCAAAGACCTTTTACTAATCTTCCTAAAGTAATTATTCTGCAACAATTCCCTCACAATCACAAAGTTCCTTAAGGAGCTGGGGTTACAAAGAGGCGTCACAGAAGACAGAACCTGTACTCTCAAAGACAGGAATTACCATATACACAAACTTTAATCGCTTTTAAAGTGGGACTCCTAAATCATTGTATGACTTATCAACTCAGAATTTAGAGCTCTTCTTTTACTGGGATCATTCTTTAAAATAAAACTGCTTTCCTTTACTTTTCTGTAGCAGGAGGAAGAACAGACATGGTACAAAACAGGAAGCTGTGTTGCTCCAAAAATATCACAGGATCGGATGACTCGAAAACCTTCACCAAACTTGGGACCGTGACACCATTCACATGTAGACGGGCTGCGAATGAGGAAACATCACGTCAATACTTAGTAAATATCTACTAAGGAAAAGACATCTTGCCTGACGCTGTGCAAGATCAAAGTAGTTTAAAATGGGGCCTTGGGGCGCCTGGGTGGCGCAGTCGGTTAAGTGTCCGACTTCAGCCAGGTCACGGTCTCGCGGTCCGGGAGTTCGAGCCCCGCGACAGGCTCTGGGCTGATGGCTCAGAGGCTGGAGCCTGTTTCCGATTCTGTGTCTCCCTCTCTCTCTGCCCCTCCCCCGTTCATGCTTTGTCTCTCTCTGTCCCAAAAATAAATAAACGTTGAAAAAAAAATTAAAAAAAAAAAATGGGGCCTTTATCGTTATTGATCTTAGCATCTAATTAAAGAGCTAAAACATACACAAGTAAAAATTAAATGCTAAAAAATAGATGTGTGAATACAAAACAATCCTAGTTTTCTAAAACAAAAAAGTATAGATGCATAGCAAGGAAACACTCTAAGGATAGACACAGAGAGAAAACAGTACTTATTCTTGGTCAGTGTGATCACAGGACATTTTATTTTATTTTATTATTTTTTTTTTAAATTTTTTTTTCAA